GTTGTGGTTGTCACTAATTTTATGGAATGTATTTATGTTTGAATGCATAATGTATTGAAAAGCATGACTACGAATGTTTCTTGATATAGTTGAGCATGATGTGTGTATGTGTTGGTGAGGGCTACTTACGGAGTATATTTTATATACTCACCCCCCTTCTATAATGATTGTTTCAGGTGAAGGACTCATGGGCGACCATGGTGATGGGACGGAGGAGACATGACGAACGAGGACCATAGGCTGCTTAGTCACTCTTGCTAATTAGCTTAAGTGATTAGTTAAGACCTTATGTTATGGTCAATAAACTATTTGTTCGTATTTGAATAATTGGGAGATTCCCCCTTGTTGTTAGTTTCATTTCGGGATAGGTGCCTATTTTAGTTTTATTCCATTCATTGAGTTTTGCCTAGTTTGAATAATAAACTTGCCTCGTGAGGTGGTCCGCGAATGTTGTTGAATGATATTCTATGAGATTGATTTATCGTTAAATTGATGAGAATTGAAACTTGATTTTATATATTTGTTTGTATAGGGAGTTGACATGACGTATTTGGGGGTTAAGTTTAATTAGTTGGGTAGTTAACGTGACCTAAAATTGTGTGGGAAATTCTGGGTCATTACATGGAATTAAAATAAATGCAATAGCAAAAAAAGATAACAAAATAATGCATTTTCATTGAATCGGGAAAGAAAAACACAAATTAGAGTAACTAGAATTGCGATAAAATAAGCAAGAAATAGTTGTAAAAACAATAAAGGAAGAACAAAACTTAAAACTAGAACTAAAACTTAAAAGCTAAAGTTGACAAGAATTTAGAAAGAAAAAGCAAAGCATGGAAATGAAATGATAGAAGTGATGCTTGGAGGCTTATTTTATAGGCCATGAAAGTAACAAGTATTTGAGAAATTCAAGTGAAGTTGGCAACCACTCTTTGTAGAGATTTTAGGAGTAAAACTGAATCTTGGACCAATAATTTGGTCAAAAGTTGTTATTCTCGTTTTGAAAATCTATGCATCGAATGTGGCTGGCGCATTCTTCTAATAATATGGAAATACTTGGCGTGCGATGTGCCTGACGCATTGCAGTCATCAATTTCCAATTTTCCTTACAAAATAAACAAATTTTCATCAATTAGCCTCTATTTGCTTCTAACTAATTGCCTAAGTCCTTAATAACGAAATATGCATATTTTTCATGAATTATATGCATTAACATACACTTTCCATCATAATTAACTCCCAGCTAAGCATAAAAACTACTCCTTTTAGCCTTTAATCAAGTCTTATCACACCCCCAAACTTAATATTTTGCTTGTCCTCAAGCAAAAACAACAATTTATCAAGTCAAGAATAAGCATGCAACATTCAAGAATAAACCAAACATCAAGCAGAGCCGAGTAACTTGCTCATATGGTGTCTCGGGAGGAACGTCAAAGCTTTAGTCCCTACTACTTTTCTCAAGCAAAATCATCATAAGGCCACTTTTGTTTAAAAGATAAAAGCTTTTCAAATTCTTCTATTTTCTAACTCAAAAAACTTTTTCAAATCCAGACTATGCACACTCCCTTTAATGAAAATTTTCTAGCATAAAAATGACTAAAAAACAAGACAGTCACTCAAGGGATTCTCTAGGCTGGTAACCAATCCGAGCTTGTCGATTAGTGAGTTGCACAAAGTCAAGCTAGATCAAAGTTGCTACCATAAAATTACGAGTATACCTAAGTGAGACTCTTTTAGCAAACAGAATGGGAACTGAGTTAAGTCAAGCTTCCTTACTTTTCTTCTCTCATTAAGTTCTCTTGCCATATATTTTCTCCTTTCACGCTTTTGTCTTTTCACTCTTATTTTTATTTTGCTTTTCTTTGTAAAATTTTCTATCACTTTTTCCTTTTTTCTTTTGCCACTTTTTCTTGTTTCGAAAGCACAAAATTTTTTCTTGTTTTTCTACACTTTTTCTTACCTCTCTTATTTTTTTGGCTCACTACATCTTAACATTCTATTATGTTTGCTTAAGCTACACTTCCAAACTTGAGCGAAGCGACTCCCCCAAACTTGAAGGAGATAGTGTCCTCACTGGTTTTAAGTGCGATAAATTTTTTTTGGTGGTGCGTAAAATCTTTTTATCATTAAAGGACAATGATCCTCTTAAAAGATGTAAAAATTTAAAGGTTAAAACTAAAGAAGCAGAAATGAGTTTATCTTAAAACAACATGGCAAATGAGTCATAGCTTGATCTAAATAGTAGAAAACACCGCTCATGCATATTCTTCAATATCATCATTGACATGAGAAAAAAACAAGAACCCACTCAAAGATGGTAAATCCAAGACTTTTCATGCTAAAAATTGAGAAGAAAATTGTGCATTCACTTGAAGATTCACAAAAACAAAAGTCTGGCAGCAAATTTTGTTATTTCCATGCATGTCAATGCTAGCTCAGAGCAACATATCATAATATCCACGACTTGATAGCATGCTTTCAAAAGACAAAATCAACTAACTACCTAAGTCCTAACATGCACATCTACTAATTTATTAACAGAAATAGAACATGCATTGAATTAAATAATACTGGAGGTCAGAAAAACTGCCTGAATCATTTTCTTCATTATTTGTAACATCACCATGTGGTTGAAGATGGTGGAAAGTAGACATGGTTGTGTTGTCTAGCTACCAACGCAAGTTCTTAGCAAAATTTCCTCTTTTCATCTTAACCTCTCACATTTAAACATGTTTTTGTTCCTGCAAAAGTATTCAAACTAAATAATTAAATTTTAAAAAAGAACAAAATAAACTAAACAAACAATGCGTGAATAAAGAAAGAAAAAAAATAAAATACAAGACAAATCCCCCTTTTAGTTCCCAAAACCAAGGCGAGGGTCGCTTATTTGCTTAAATCCCTTCCCTATCATGGTGGTTCTATTTTTAAAGGCCAAATTGACTTTCTCTTTTCTTTCTTCAAAGTGATTGTCGTAATGATGCCTTCTTTTTCTGCTTCTTCTAACTGTGCCTCTATTTCTGCATTTAACAAATCATCCAACTCATAACAAGTAAGTCCCTTATTAATGCTAATTGTTGCACACTCTTCCATATCGTCCGGATATTTCATTGCATCCAACATATTGAACGTCACCTTTTGATCATCAACGTGCATCGTGAGTTCTCCCTTTTTTACGTCAATTAGAGTTTCTCCTGTAGATAGGAATGGGCGTCCGAGAATGATAGGCACATCTTTGTCAGCTTCACAGTTTAAAATAATAAAATCAGCAGGAAAAATAAATTTATCAACCTTTACTAAGACATCTTCTATTTTTCCTTCTGGCTTGGTGATCGATCTATCTGCTAACTGGAGTGTGACGGTGGTAGGACTAGCTTTCCCTATCTCTAACTTCTTAAAAATAGACAAAGGCATGAGATTTATGCTAGCCCTTAAATCACATAGTGCTCTCCCTACATCTTTACCTCCTATTGAACAAGGGATTGTAAAGCTGCCAGGATCTTTAAGCTTAGGGGACATTTTGCTCTTAAAAACATTACTACTACATTCTGTCAAAGCTACTGTCTCATACTCTCCTAACTTTTTCTTCCTAGTTATTATGTCTTTTAAGAACTTTGCATAAGTAGGCATCTGCTCAAGAGCTTCAACAAAAGGTACGTTAATGTGCAGTTGTTTCAAGATGTCTAAGAACTTACGAAAATTGTTGTCCTGATTTTTCCTTACTAAACGTTGGGGGAAAGGAGGAGGAGGTCTAGAGTTACTTACCTATGGGGCAGTTGGCCGACTTACCTCAATTTCTATTGGTTCGTCAGGTTCTGTTGCTGTCTCTTTTTCTTTTGTGGGACATGATGATCCCTCTCTTGGCATTTTTGGTTCTTCATAAGCTAGCCCGCTCCGAGTTGTAATTGTTTTGCAATGCTCCCTACCTTCTATTTTGGGCTCCTCCGTAGCGCTAGGTAATGTACCTCGAGGTCGATTCTTGAGTTCACTAGCAAGCTGCCCCATTTGAGCTTCCAAATTTCGCATAGCTGCGTCATTTCTAGATGTGTAATCTCGTATAGCTGTGTCATTCCTAGTCGTGAATTCTTGCATAGCTGTGTCATTCCTAATCGTGAATTCTTTCATCATACTGGTCATACATTCCTTCATCATACTTTCCATACAACTCATAGTAAACTGCACTGGCTGTGATGCATTTTTCTGTTGATTGTGTTGCTGTGGAGGTGGAGGTAAAACAAGGACTCCTGGGCGGTTATAGGTCTTATATTGTTGGTTTTGAACTTGACCCGCATTGTTGGAACTCCCTTGCCCTACATAACATAAACAAGTTGGATTAGATGGGCAATTTTCAGAATTATGAGAATCTCCACAATAATAACAAATAGATTCAATCATATGATAAACAGGAGCAAGATTAGTATTTGTGGATGTTGGTGTAGGTGCAACATTATTCCCTTGCATATTCTTCATCATTTGCATAAGGGTATCTAATTGACTCTGCATTGATGACATCGCGTCAAGATTAAACACTCCTGCACGATCTATGGTCTTTGGTTGAGTCCTTGATCTCTCTGAGCACCATAGATAGTTATGTTCAGTTAACTGATCAAGAATGGTGATGATCTCGTTGTATGTCTTAGAAGTGAACTTTCCATTTGCGGTTGTGTTTAACATCATTTTTGTTGGTATATCGCAATCTCGATAAAAATGTTCAATTTGTACACAGGCTGGAATTCCTACGTTTGGGCAACTTCTCATTAGCTCCTTGAAACGTTCCCATACTTCGTTGACTGTTTCATTCTCTCTTTGCCTAAAAGAAATGATTTCCTCCCTCACGTCTGCATTTTTTGTGGGTGGGAAATACTTTGTAAGGAACTTGTCCACCATGGTTCCCATGAATAAATGGAGTATGGAGGAAAAACATTCAACCATGCAGTTGCTTGACCTGAAAGGGAAAAAGGAAATAATTTTAGTCTTAAAGCATCATCAGATATTCCTGATAATCTAAAAGCATTTGCCACAAAGATTTAAGGTGGGAATGTGGATCTTCATGTTTGAGTCCTGCAAACTGGCCAATAGTGTTAAGCATTTGGAGCATCATCAGCTTGAATTCAAATTGGACATCGTCTGGAATTGGATTTGTAATGCCCGCGTTTAAGTTCTGTAAGGTAGTGGCCGATAGTCGCGCATTCCAATGTCTTTTCGATCGGCCAACAAGATTGGATTTGGTACTTCTTCTGCCATCTTGGTGTTTACTTCATCAAATTCTCTCTCTTTTTCTTTTTCTTTCTCTTTTTGGATTTTCTCTTGTTGTTTTCTAAGTCTCTGCTCACGCCTTAGCCTCTTACAAATTTTCTCGATCTCGGGATCATACGGAAGCAAGTGTGAATTTGTGCTCATGCACTAATGATCACTTTTTAGGTTAGATTGGGAGATATTTTCAGAACAGAAACGGTGAAGTGATCGCACACAAAAACAATTCACAAAGAATAAAATTAAAACAAAACAAAGTCCCCGAAAACGGCGCCAAAAACTTGTTGCGCCTCTGCTAAATAGCTAGAGGATAAGTGCAAGTGCACACCGTCACAAGTAATAATATGGAAGTATTCCAAGTTTGTCTTCATAGGGACTAGTTTTTCTTTTGAAATTGAATTTGAAAACTGTTAGAATGAGCAATCAGGTTTGTGATAAAAATTGGTGAGATTGGTTGATCACGAAAAACACACGAAAATAATAGAATTTAAAAGGCCAACCCCCTACTTCTGTTTAGTTCTAAAATGATGAGTTACACCTACCAAATGTGCCCGTAATTACGCTCAATTTATGCAAACTGGTTCAATTCCTATTCCATACCGCTTTTGGTTTATTTAGAAGTTTAGGCTAGTGTTTACACATGACTATGCAACTTTAGAATCCTAAATGAATTAAATGCCAACTTACATTTAACGGGTAAGAGAGCCTATGTCTAAGATCTTGTTTTTGTTCTTATTTCTAAGTAACTTCCCGTTTTACCTTGATGAGATCCGTTTGACTCTAACCTTCTCAGAATTAAACTCAAACTAGTGTGGTTTAAAGAAGTGGCCAACAAGAAAATCAACTAGATAAATTGTATCAATCAAGATAAGCAAAGAGAGAGTAATACGACGTGCTCACTGATAGATGTAATTTAAAATAGATGACTAAACCATTCGTAGGTGGGTTGAAAAATTAATTTAGCTACTCATAGAATTAAAATAAATGCAACAGCAAAAAAAGATAACAAAATAATGCATTTTCATTGAATTGGGAAAGAAGAACACAAATTAGAATAACTAGAATTGCGATAAAATAATCAAGGAATAGTTGTAAAAACAATAAAGGAAGAACAAAACTTAAAGCTGGAACTAAAACTTAAAAGCTAAAGTTGGCAAGAATTGAGAAAGAAAAAGCAAAGCATGGAAATGAGATGATATAAGTGATGCTTGAAGGCTCATTTTATAGGCCATGGAAGTAACAAGTATTTGAGAAATTCAAGTGAAGTTGGCAACCACCCTTTGTAAGATTTTAGGAGTAAAACTGAATCTTGGACCAATAATTTGGTCAAAAGTTGTTATTTCCGTTTTGACAATCTATGCATCAAATGTGGCTGGTGCATTCTTCTAATAATCTTGAAATACTTGGCGTGCGATGTGCCTAACGCATGGCAGTCATCAATTTCCAATTTTCCTTACAAAATAAACAAATTTCATCAATTAGCCTCTATTTTCTTATAACTAATTGCCTAAGTCCTTAATAATGAAATATGCACATTTTCCACGAATTATATGCATTAACATACATATTCCATCATAATTAACTCCCAACTAAGCATAAAAACTACTCTTTTTAGCCTTTGATCAAGTCTTATCAAGAATCATAAAAAAATTTCGCAATCACTTATCCATCCCACATGTTGTAGTC